AATATTAGAACTTTAGGAGGCAATCACCCCACAAAATTCAGATGTAGGGGTGATTTCGTACAGAAAGCATCTTTGATAACGCGAAATGGCAGTGGAAGTCAAAATTCATAGTGGCGCGTTTTTTAAGACGTGAGCGAAACGGCAAACACGTTTGTTAAGCGCATGTTTATATAAAAAAAGGAGAAATACAGTGTATTCAGTCAGTGGAATGCAAAACATGTTCTGACTAAAATAAATACCGCCATTCAGCAGACTGATATTTCTAACCGTTACTCATGGGAACGCTGTATATCAGATCGTTCTTCTGGAAAGCTCGGGGAAATTTAAGGGGTATTTAAGGCTGCTTTGGAATACTTGATTCTGGTTGGTCAACCGTTCCATTCAGTCGTCTCAATTTTTTTCTTATTGGAGACACATTATACAGGTACAATTATAAAATAATCTCTCAGATCATTATTTCATATGGGTCATTGTATGGAAATGTCCATTTGTCTGTCCCTAGCCCTTTACAGAAATATTACACTTGAAAAACACTTTAGGGTTACAATTGTTTTATATTTTAAAATAAAACAATGTGTTATTTGAACAATTACACCTTCTTGAGCCATCAATGTGGCAATATTTGTTTTTAATTAATTATAAAGAATTCCAAGCACCAAAAAACTGCTCGTCTCCACAGCCATGTACAGGTTTTTCTACCATTTAAAATACGATGTATTCATAACTATTAAATATATGATGTAAATGACATAAAAAAACAAAATGCCAAATAAATATTATAAAATATATCATGAAAGTAGTGGTCCCCTGGAGTTGTGTCACTGGTGTTACCGTTTAACAAAAACCTTTTATTTTGAAATAAAAATCACACTTATGACATCACTTGACTTCCTTCCTCCTATTTCCCGAAGATCTATGAAAAAAAGGCCCATGTGAAGTCCACTGTCTCTTTTCAGTTATCAGAAATTTTCTCATTTATCTCACGATTTCATATGAAGCTTTTAGTGGAAGTCACTGGTATGACCTACTTTATTTTTAGGGAATTGTAAAAAAAAAACTAGAATACAAATGGATTAAACTACTCAATTTAGTGAGTATACCATGACTGATAACATGTGGTTTGATACCTTGCAGCAGACATTTTGTAAAATGCATTTTTCCTGAAAATTGTGACTGGTGTTACCTTCCTTATGGGTAACACCAGTGAAGATCAGTTTATGTTTATGCTCTTTTACTGACTGCTTTCACTAATTGCCAAATGTATACCAAATGTAACAATTTAGTCTCAGCTAATAATTATAGTTGAAGAATAAGGATCTTTGGTCTTATTATGTCACTGGTGTTTCATTGTGTCACTGGTGTTACTTTTTTTTCTGTCACATTAAATGTGTCACATGTGACATGATAATAATGTTACATCCATTGAATTCTGCTTCACTCAAGAGTTAAGATTTAAAGGACTGCATCAGTACTTGTTTATAACTGTTTTTACACATATTTTCATTGTTATAGCAAATACATGGTTGCGCAAATGAACTAACATCATTCAATCACACTTTTAACAACCCTGATTAAAATAAATAAAACATAATCTCATTTGTTGCATTATCATTATTTTTTGTAACTCTAACTACATGTACTAAAAAAAATTGAAATAATATTTCATAAAAACCTTTAAAATTGCCAAAGAAGTAAGGTAACACCAGTGACAAAAAAATGGTACATGTGGTCTTTAAATAAATGCACAAAAAAGATGAAAAATCATTAAGATGTCATTTATGTGTATTCATAAATTCAAAAGGTAGTATAATAATGTGGTCTAAGTTTAAATGTTAAAAAATAAATACATTTTAAGACATCTTGCCATACCAAAAGTGGACGTTTCTGTAGAATGACCCATATATGATATGCATTTCAAATCATGTAAATTGGTTTCAAATGGTATTTACTTAAGGACAACAGTTGTGATGATTTCTTAAATAGCCAACAATTACTTTAGTGGGATTTAAAATGGCAATGTGTCCAGAGGCTGTTCAGGCTCTTCAGTGGAGTGTTTAAGTGCTCTGTTGCTGGGGATCCTTTCACTCTCTCTTTCTCTATGACTGAAGGAGGGCAGACTGACTGTAGGGGTCTTGGCCCGGCTTCCATTTGAGAGCGACAAGCTATGTTTTTTCTTCACAATCTGCCAAGGGATCATCCTAGTGTTTACTCCTAATACAGATGACTTTGGAAATGTCCCCCCGC